TATATATATATATATATATATATATATATATATATATATATATATATATATATATAGAGGAATCATTTTTGTTAATAAAGCCATCCCAACAAAATTTTTGAAAGTTTATCCAGGCTTGGGTAGTTTGATTGGATATGCTTTGCTTTGTTTCTGTCAGTTATCATCTGTCTGTTTATGGCACATCTACATTTAATAGCTTTTCATAGAGATGCTATTGTTATTTTTTTTTTTAGCCTCCCTCTACTCTAAAAGGCAGGGTAAAAGGCACAAGTCTCAGAGTGCAATTAAATTCTTACTAGGGGAAAAGAACAGAGTGACTAACTGTCGATAGTTTTAACTAGTGCTGCCATTTTTTCGCCCCGATACCTGATACATGACTGTGCAGTATTGGCCGTTACCATACCATTACCATCTGTTTGAAATTGATGTGTGTGTATATATGAAGAACTGCCTACTAGTTGGATGTAAAATAATTGCCATCATGGGTTTGTCAAGCTGCTGCCTACCTATGTGAAGCATGGAAAAAAAAAAGACTAATACAAAGTGAATCCAGCAGAACTTTTTATTGCCTACCTGGAATGGGTGACAATAGTTGAATAAACTTTTGGCTCTGAAAATGGTGTCGGGGCCCTATTTGTTGGTACTCGCCTTTACTGATACCACCATTTAGTGCTGGATCAGGGCCCTGCGCGATACTTGTATCGGTATCAGTGCAACACTAGTTTTAACCTTGGCAGACTTGGGGAAAAAAAACATTTAAGATATTTTATTTTTTAGTCGTTTAGATGTTTTATTACAGCATCTTTTCAGTTGTTACAGTTTGGCCAATATCAACTATCTGTGGAGGAAAATACCAACAGTTCAATCAGTTTTCACCTGGTGATATTTTTTACACTTTGAGTCAGGCTAGTGAGTTGTTTAATGCATAAGATTTTATGTTTTTTTATTTTATATTTGTTATCACTTTTCAAATTTAACCCAGTTATAAGAAATATTTGCAACTTTGTTACTCTAGCCCCATATTCATAAAAAAATAGCATGTTCTGTGTTCTGAACTGAGACACAATATATATGACACAATATAAAGCCATTACTTTGAACACTTTTGTAGAAAAAAATGAGTGAGGCAGGAAATACAGTGATTCGTCGGCAATGGTGTAAAATTACCACACTTCCTCCTGTCTTTTTAGTATCACGGAGTGTAAGGAGTTGTGTGAAGATGCTTCTGTTTTGGGTTATGCTACATGTTCTTCTTCATCAAAGAAGTAAGTGTAATCTTCTGTAATTTTAAAACATGATTTACCATTTCATATGTTACATACAACCCTGTACATCAGACTTTCTATAACTGGATTGGTACTGTTAGTGAATGTTGATTTCCTGTATTTAGAATTTTCAAGAGACCATCCTTTTCTTAAAATTATTTATTCATGGAACTCTATAAAAAGCGTTTTTCTTGATGTTTGCAGCTCTTAAGCAAAATCTCACCTCCACAAATATGATATGTAATGCTGATAGTGGGTAGTATTATTGTATTCAATTTAAACTAATGTCCAACGGAAAAATAAAAACCATGGACAATTATATGGAATTTCATATTTAATCTTCTGATAATAGAGGCTGGCGGGCCTTTGCCAGTAACATACTTAAAAAGTGCAACATTGAAAAAGTAAGTTGATTCATTTAATGTGTGAATATATTATTGAACTGATGTTTAAAAAAACTATCCAACAGCAAACTTCAGAAAAACATGAAAAAGCAAGATATTTAAATAAAAATCCAAAACCTAAATACAAAGGATATTTTGCATTAAACATTATCATCTGTGTGGCAAGAGGAAGTTGCATTTCTAAGAAAGCCAATCAGATACCTTTGAAAGTGTTTTACAAAACATCCCTCGTTGATTCAAATGTCATTTTTCTCAATAAAGACAGTGTAAATATGACTCTTTTATGGGCTACACTGTTTAACTTCATGAACGATTTAAGTAATACATAAACTGTAACACCTAATTTTCACGTCCTAGCTTTTTATATAATTTAGTTTGATATTTCTTTTAACTTTTCATGTTCAACTTTTCTTCTCTTTTTGTTTTAAAGTTACAGATGCCTTGGTTCCAGTGGTCACAGCCCAGCTGGGCAAACCTGTGACTTTAACATGTGATTTGAGCAAGAAATTTGAGAACATGGACTGGCTTCAATGGCACAAGCAGACTACAGGAGATACTCTCAAATTAATTTCAGTGCTGCAGAAGAATGCAAACCCTATTTATGGAGCTGGATTTTCATCCATAAATTTCAACTCAACATATAATAACAAAATGTTTAATCTGACGATCTTGAGGACTTCTAAAGAAGATAAAGGAATGTATCACTGTGTGCATATGAACCGGTTTGAATCTATATGGAATGGGAGTTACTTATCATTAGAAGGTAATCATGAAAATAAATAAAATACTATATAATAAAAAGCATGAAAATCTTTTATATAAAATATATTTTACTAGGTTTTGGCTGCTGAACCTGATATGATTAGTATAGGTATTTAAGCAGTCATGCATAGAGGGCAGCCATAGCATTTTTTTATCCTGCAGAACATTTTTGGTTAATCTCTTTAAATATGTAGACATACAATTTCAGAGCTTCTAATTTGATAGTTGTTATTGAGAGTTTACTGAAATGAAAGAATTATAGAAATAAATGCAATTCTTTTTTCGTGAAAATGTTATTGTTGTGTCTAATGTTGTTGAGTTTTGAGATTTATTAGAAATACATAGAAAATACCTGCTGCTATATTGGTGTAATTTTAAATGAAAAGTAAAATCCAATATTTTTTTTGAAATAATGCTGAAAAACTTTTCCATAATTAAATAACAAGGACCTTCTCACCTAAAAATAGACAATTTTCTTTATCAAGAACTCAACATTTTTAATTTATGGAATGATCTAGCTTTAAAATATCTTATGAACATTAGAAATGTCAAGCTGTATGTTGTTCTTATACTTTATTAATAATGATAAAAATAATATTGAAATTAATGTTCATTGTTTAGGAAACACAGAGACAACTTCAAGCTACCGTGTTGTTCAGCAGCCAGCTGTTCTAGATCCATCCCGTCCAGCAGAGTCAGATACTCTGCAGTGTTCACTCCTTTCTCAGCCTGGGGAAAAGACCTGTTCAGGAGAACCCAGTGTGTTCTGGTTAAGGACCAAACCGGACAAGTCTGTTCCAGATCTCATCTTCACTGATGGAAAAACACCTGAAAATTGTGAGAAGCCATCAAACGCTGAAAAGAGATGTAGTTATAACTTCTCTAAGAAGGTCTCCCCTTCTGATCTTGGAACATACTATTGTGCAGTGGCCACATGTGGAGAGATATTACTTGGAGATGGAACCAGAGTCGAAATTGGTATGATTTCTTTCTATCATACTCTTAGCCAATATTTATCAATGATGGGCTTTTTAACAGAAACAATTGCATCTTTTCTTCTTTTTTTCCCCCAGCTCATTCATTAAGTGGCATGTCTTTGGTAATAACAATGATCTGCTTGGCCATATCTGTGCTTTTGAATATTGGTTTAATTTGTTGCCAAACTCACAGAAGANCTTAGAAATAGACAATTTTCCTTATCAAGAAACCAAAATTTTATTTATTTTTTGGAAGGATCTCGCTTTAAAATATGTTATGAATATTAGCAACATGTTGTATGTTTTTCTTCTACTTAATTAAAAATAATAAAAAAAAGGAAAAAAAAAAATATATTGCAATTATTATAGAATACTTTTTTTTTTTTTTAGGAAACACTGAGACAATTTCAAGCTATCGTGTTGTTCAGCAGCCAGCTGTTCTAGATCTATCCCGTCCAGCAGAGTCAGATACTCTGCAGTGTTCACTCCTTTCTCTGCCTGAGGAAAACACCTGTTCAGGAGAACCCAGTGTGTTCTGGTTAAGGACCAAACTAGGCAAGTCTGTTCCAGATCTCATCTTCACTGATGGAAAAACACCTGAAAATTGTGAGAAGCCATCAAACGCTGAAAAGAGATGTAGTTATAACTTCTCTAAGAAGGTCTCCCCTTCTGATCTTGGAACATACTACTGTGCAGTGGCCACATGTGGAGAGATATTACTTGGAGATGGAACCAGAGTCGAAATTGGTATGATTTCTTTCTATCATACTCTTAGCCAATATTTATCAATGATGGGCTTTTTAACAGAAACAATTGCATCTTTTCTTCTTTTTTTCCCCCAGCTCATTCATTAAGTGGCATGTCTTTGGTAATAACAATGATCTGCTTGGCCATATCTGTGCTTTTGAATATTGGCTTAATTTGTTGCCAAACTCACAGAAGATCACTCAAAAACAGAGGTAGGTACTTGTAAACTACAAAAAAATATACAAAGAAAACAGAAAAAGGTAGAAGAATTTTAGAATCAAAATTCCTCTTTGAACCATGTTTAGAAAGATCTTCTTCACAAACAAAACATAACCACACAAGGCAACCTGATGATTTTGTGAGTAATTACAATAATTTTCTTTGTTAATTAGAAATATACTAAACCCAAAGGCATAAACAAAATAACTAAAATTAAAATGTTTGTATAACTTTTATGTTTTCACTCAGACAGAAGAAGGAGAGCATCTGACCTATGCTGCCTTACATTTCTCTACAGGGACGACGAACAGGAGAGAGTTGAAGACTAAAGAAAGTGTGTATTCAAACGTCAGACTGAGTCATTTAGAGAATACATCCTGATGAAGCTCATTTGTCTTATTAAATATACCTCAATAGACAACCTATACAAAGATAATTCAATATATTAAATTAACACCATATTTCTGTGCTTCAGATTTGTTTATTGGTCTGTAGTGATCTCAGTTGTCATATCTTCATTAAGTGGAAAAATGTCATGATTATAGTATGTTTGGAAAAAGTCTATATTAAATATATTCTTGGTGAACTCAGTGAATAAAAAAATTTATCTATATTGTTGGTTTTGTGTCAGTGTAGGCTCACGTAGAACATTGTGATATATTAATGTACAAAAATACAATTCTTACGATAGTGTTCTATGCCTGTTGCTCATTTTAAACTGAGGTCATATAGACCAAACATCGGTCCTGATAGTGTTTAGCTTTTCCTTTTTAAGCCTAAATAGAATTATAGCACCAGTCATGAAGAGAAGACATAAAGAAACGTGTGCCATCTGCCAGCAGTAGTGTACCACAGAACTATCAGAAAGCTAGATGATGATAGTTGGGGAGGCTACCTAACAAAGGCTGAATATCCAGCAATACCTCATGGTAAAGCTACATTTTGTGGGGGTTGAAGACCAACCAATATGAATTATTGGTTAATATTAAATAAAACAATATATGTTTGTTTGTTTGTTTATTTAGATCCCCATTGGCTACTGAGTAAAAGTGGTAGCTGTTCTTCCTTGGGTCATTTTTTGAACAGATATATCAAAGTTGTGTAACAATGAAGCAAAACACAGAAGTACACACACACACACACAAACAGACACACACCCACACACACACACACACACACAGACAAGACAAAACAACTTCATATACATATATAACATACACACTGAGACCTATAACAATCAGTAGTGGCTGGTGGAGCTTTCTCCAGGGAGGTCTATAAATTCAAAATAGACGTATACCAAAAACCAATCAAACGTATACTAAGTTATCACATATATTTATATGAATGCCAACAACAACAACAACAAAAAAACATAATTTCATCTCAGGTTTCGTTTTTGTCCATAAATCTTGCCCTTCTGAGGCAAATCTGTGTTTTGCATGGTCCAATATTGTTCCACAAACCTAAAAAAATAATGTAACAGTTTAATAATGGGAAAGCTATTAGTCAGCTTTATATATTTTTTATTATGTATATAAAAAAAACTACTTATTTTATGAGAATGTGTTTATTCAAGAGCAACTATGCAAACTAACAAACATCTAAAAGAAGTACACTATATTATATTATTTTCCATGTGAATCCCAGATTGTTCATTCTTCTTTGCCTTTTCTAAAAAGTGCTTTAAATTAGTCCTTGTCATGATCGGTTTAGAGATAAACCCACATGCAGAACACCACTGGAGACTTGG